TACAAAACATATGATTCTTAGCAAAAGACATTGACGAAATTCTAGTGATGATAGATCCGCTTAAGTCCTAACATGTGGCTATCTGACTGACAGAAAGTTGGCTGAAGCCAAATGCTAATACTGCAGTCTTCCAAATTCCTGGATAAGTGCATCGAGAAATGCAGTAGAACAAACGAGGAGGACAATTGGCTTGTATATCATTGGGGACATAGATCAAAAAGTTGTCAAGGTTACATCTGGTAATGATTTTCCAATTTTGAGCGTATTTTTTCAAAAATCTAGCGTTCAATTTTGCTACCTGCAGTTTACATCCCAACCAGTGCCGTTAACAACTTATCTTATTAAGTTTTAACCATTTATTTTGACACTATGGTTTTTCAACTTAATGCACATCATTCTGTTTGCATTGAACTATATGTTAAGTTTTTGAGCAAAACTAAGAAAAAATGAGAAATAAAAACGTCTTTTTCTCGACAATAGCCTCAAACTCATGAATATACTTAAAGCAACATGAGAACTACCAAAAACAAAATCCTGCCTTGATGTATTTTTCTCAATCCAAACAAGATATGCTGAAGTCCAGAAAACATCAAAATCAGATCAATATAGTGTTTTATACTATACAGGGTATCTTGGAGACGTTATAACAGCAAAAAAGTATTGTATACGTTTTTAACATGAAATTCAAGGCCAGAGTTAATGAATCTATCCAAGAGGACTTACAAACTTAGGTAAATGGAATTTACTATTACAAAATAGATTAAACTTTTTTGTGAAATTTGATGAGGTACCGCATGCTAACTTTATTGAGTTCCTACAAGAAAACTTTATAAAAAACAAAAATCAGAAGCACTAGATATCGAATCAAATGGAAAATGCAGCTGTTAAACAAATTTATTTAGACCAAATGAGCCAAAAATGAAGAAACAGAGCTCCAGAATAGTATACACATGAAGCTAATTATGTGAAAAACTTTGTCAATCAGCAAAAAAACAATCTCTTTCAAGACAAAAATTTGCTCAGAAAATAGGCAGTACTTAGAAGCATCAAAGTTATCAAAAAAATGCAATCAATGTTGTTGGTGCCCATTTTGCCTCGCAAGGTCCATTTTATATAAGATGAAAGCAAAAAAAAAAAAACAGGAGCATAGATTGCTTCGAAATCAACGGTTTTTTTTATTTCAATTACTCCAGTCCCGACCAAGTTAAACCAAAAAGTTTGAAAACGTTTGAAAAACAGTTTTCAGATTGCCTAAAAATACCACAAACAATACCCATCTACGAAGATGGCAAAAAAACTATTCAACAATTAACCCATCGATGTCATAACTGCCGGCTATTAAAAAAATTTGAGAGAAAAGTCTGAAAGAAATTCTATCAAATCACAAACTCTCAACAATGCGCATTAGGGGTTCCATAGCAATCGTGGGACAGATAAGGCAATGGTTTTGTTAACTGAAGAAAATCGTTACCAGTGGGATTCTCATTCAAACGAAATATAATGCACATTCTTGGACTTGAGCAAAAAATTGGATACTGCAAACCACATTCTTTTGTTTAAATTTTTTTTTACACTTTTAATGAAAAAATTTAAAATATATTATGCGGGCAAGTGTTTGAAAATCTAAAATTTTGTTTGTCAAACACAATTCAAAATACTTTTAAATATGAATTAGTTATACCACCTTGTTATTCGAATTTGGTGTACTGTAATGATCCATTTTAAGTCCCTTTCCATTCATTCTCTTGATTGAGGCTACTGATTGCAACAAAAGCCAGTCGAAAATAATTTTTTTTACGCTAATGATACTGAAATACAAATTTTAGTAGAGAAAAAAAACTATGCAAAAAAATTATCATAGAGCTCTAAATGGTGTCACTATTTGAATAGATAATAATCAGTTAAGGTTGAAAAGAGACAAAAATGAAATTAAATTCCTCCCAAAAAATAAAATCAGTAAAAAAGAAAAACATTAAAGAAGAAAAATAGTTTTGAGCAATTAAGTGGTTTTAGATATCTTGTCAGTTATTTTCATGAAAAATGAGGCAATGAAAAGACATGTAAATATGGTTCAAAGTAGATTAAACACATTTTGTCGGGTGTTTTAAAAATTTTAGGAAGTGTTTAAAAACAAATCAGTTGATAAATTTTTACGAAACATTGTTAAACTAAATATGCAATACTAATTATGTGCTTGCTGCTTGAAATTGCCGTGTTTTTTTTCTGAAGGTTCTGCTTGAAGTGTAATTGGTCAAAATTTTCGCGCCTGAAGTGTATCAATTTTTGGACCGAACCGTCTGAAATTCAATATGCCTGAGCGTTTGCGGCACTATCAAACAGCTGTTTCCCATCGTGATTTGCGCTAGTTTCGAAGGAAAACGATTCTAAATTTTATTGAAGCCTGGTTTTGAATTATACTCAGCCTCTTCCCCTGGGAAGATTTGAAATTTTCTCGCCGGGGGATCAAAAATTCGACAAAAACCAGGCCAAACAAACCATTCTGTGATTTTAAGACAATACAATCGGCAGTTAGATTCAACAAACCCCCACAAGAGACCAAAATAAGATCTTCAGCTAAGCTTTCAATTTAAATCAAATTACTTAAATACTGCGGGTGAAATGCTCTGTTATGATTGGCGGATAATTCGAACTCAGAACCAAGTTTTTATCCTCCACCCCCCTAAATGTGCTTGGGGAGGGGTGAGCAAAACAAAATCCTGCCTTGATGTATTTTTCTCAATCCAAACAGGATTTGCTGAAGTCCAGAAAACATCAAAATCAGATCAATATAGTGTTTTATACTATGCAGGGAATCTTGGCGACGTTATAACACCAAAAAAGTATGGTATACGTTTTTAACATGAAATTCAACGCCAGTGTTAATGAATCCATCCAAGAAGACTTACAAACTTAAGGAAATGGAATTAACGATTAAAAAATAGATTAAGTTTTTGTGAAATTTGATAAGGTACCGCATGCTAACTTCAATAAATTCTTACAAGAAAACTTTATAAAAAACAAAAATCAGAAGCACTAGATATCAAATCAAATGAAAAAAGCAGCTGTTAAACAACTTTACTTAGACCAAATGAGCCAAAACTGAGTAAAAAGAGCTCGAGAATAGTATGCACGTGAAGCTAATTATGTGAAAAACTTTGTCAATCAGTAAAAAAATAATCTCTGTCAAGACAAAAAATTGCTCAGAAAATAGGCAGTACTTCGGAGCATCAAAGTTATCAAAAAAGTGCAATCAATGTTGTTGGTACCCTTTTTGCCTCGCAAGTCCAGTTTATATAAGATGAAAGCAAAAGAAACAAGATCATAGATTGCTACAAACTCAACGATTTTTTTTTGTTTCAATTACTCCAGTCCTAAACAAAAAGTTTGAAAACATTTGAAAAACAGTTTTCAGATTGTCTAAAAATAGCACAAAGAATACCCATCTACGAAAATGCAATTCAACAGTTATTCCATCGATATCATAGTTGCCAGCTTAAAAAAAATTGAGAGAAAAGGCTGAAAGAAATTCTACCAAAACACAAACTCTTAACAATGCGCAGTAAGGGTTCCATAGCAATCGTGGGACAGATAAGGCAATGGTTTTGTTAACTGAAGAAAATCGTTACCAGTGGGATTCTCATTCAAACGAAATATAATGCACATTCTTGGACTTGAGCAAAAAATTGGATACTGCAAACCACATTCTTTTGTTTAAATTTTTTTTTACACTTTTAATGAAAAAATTTAAAATATATTATGCGGGCAAGTGTTTGAAAATCTAAAATTTTGTTTGTCAAACACAATTCAAAATACTTTTAAATATGAATTAGTTATACCACCTTGTTATTCGAATTTGGTGTACTGTAATGATCCATTTTAAGTCCCTTTCCATTCATTCTCTTGATTGAGGCTACTGATTGCAACAAAAGCCAGTCGAAAATAATTTTTTTTACGCTAATGATACTGAAATACAAATTTTAGTAGAGAAAAAAACTATACAGAAAAATTTATCATAGAGCTCAAAATGGTGTCACTATTTGAATAGATAATAATCAGTTAAGGTTGAAAAGAGACAAAACGAAATTAAATTCCTCCCAAAAAATAAGATCAGTAAAAAAAGAAAACCGGAAAGAAGAAAAATAGTTTTGAGCAATTAAGTGGTTTTAGATATCTTGTCAGTTATATTTATGAAAACTGAGGCGATGAAGGACATGTAAATAAGGTTCAAAGTAGATTAAACATATTTTGTGGGGTGTTGCAAAAATTTTCGGAAGTGTTTAAAAACAAATCAGTTGATAAATTTTTACGAAACATTGTTAAACTAGTTATGCAAAACTAATTATGCGCTTGCTGTTTAAAATTGCCGTCTTTTTTTTCTCTTGAAGTGTAATTGGTCAAAATTTTCGCGCCTGAAATGTATTAATTTTTTGGACCGAACCGTCTGAAATTCAATATGCCTGAACGTTTGCGGCACTATTAAGGATCTGTTTTCCATCGTTCTTTGCGCTAGTTTCGAAGGAAAACGATTCTAAATTTTGTTTGAAGCCTGGTTTTGCCTTATACTCAGCCTCCTCCCCCTGGGAAGATTTTAAAATTTTCTCGACGGGGGATCGAGTTTTCGACAAAAAAGCCATTCTGTGATTTTTAAGACAATACAATCGGCAGAACTGGTTCTAGCTTGTGGATGAAATTATGAAATTAACTCTTAGAGTTAGAGGATCAAATTGAAATCCCAAACTCCTCCCCCCCCCCCCCCCCCTCCACAAGACACCAAGTTAAGATCCTCCACCAAGCGTTCAATTTAAATAAAATTAGCTAAGCGCTGCGTGTGAAATGCTCTGTTATGATAGGCGGATAAATCGAACTCAAAACTAAGTTTATATCCTCCCCCTCCCCCCCCCCTCCCCAAACGTGCATGGGGAGGGGGAAGGGGGGATGATGTTATTTCGGTTCGAGTTAGGAAACTTGAGAATAGTTTCGAAAACGGTTGTGTAGAATACCTGTTTTAACTTTTTCCTTTTCCCTCTCGTGTTTTCTTCTCTCCTCTTCGATTATGTGTTCCAAAGTGACGTCATCGTCATCTAGCAAGTCTTCATCGTCTTCAAAGTAAACTTCTTCAGTTGACGAGAAGGAATAGTTCGAGTTGACAATATCGTCCAAATTTATGGCCAAATCTTCCAAAGACATAAATGTGTCCTTTCTCACGAAGTCCATAATATTAACTGTCTTCTATTGAAGTCGCAAACAAGATTCGATAAAAACAGAATGCAAAAAACAAGGGCTAAATGAGGGGGTCCAAAACTTCTAGAGTGATTTCTCGAAGAAGAGCGACTGCAATGACTTTGTGCTTCTAAATAATTTGCGTATTATTGAAAAACTCAGGCTAATTTGCAAACACACTTGTGCACAGCCCTCTAAACTTTCGCCAATCAAAATTATGATGGTCCAAATTGTTATTTTTGTTCAGTCTCAAAAAGTGATTTATATTCTCGAGCATTCCAGATGGCATAAGTTTGATTTAATTTTTGGTTCAATTTGACATTATTTTAATCTCTTTTATTAATCCGACCAAACGAACTATTATATAACGTGAGCAAAATGCACAAATTGTACACTACGCTTTCACACTGAGTTTTTTCAAGCTTGAGCGTATTTGCAAATCTTAACTGTTTTTTTTTAAATCTGAATATAATTTCTCCTATCCAGCATTATGCAACTGAACCTCTATGATTAATATCAGAGTGATGAAATTAATTGATGCCCCGCCCCCATCAATCCTACCGACCGCCCCCTACCTCAATTCTAGTTGCCAAAATTTTCCAAAGGGTCCCCCCTTTGGTATAATTTTACGAGATCAATTTTTTTACGGACCAACATCAAAAGTTCTGTAAGGGCGCCTTTGGTGCCAATATAACAAAATTTGAGGGGGGTACAAAAAACGCAATTTTTTGGTCAAATATTTTGTAAAAGAGCTCAAAACGTCATTTTTAGCCTGTTTTTTCGAAAATAAAGGTCGACAAAATTTTCGAAATTTTGTTGAAAATCCACCCCCCTCGAGAAAATCCTAGATCCTGGGGGAGGGATTGTTCATTTGGTCTATTGAAGGGGGAGATTTTTGGAGCTACCAATTTTTGGAGCTACCAATTACCTCTAGAGACAAGGAGGAAAAGAGGTTATCGCGGTAGTGATCTATAAATAGTATTAAAAATAACAACAGGAGAAAAAGCCCAAAGTTAACGATGGCTTGATTAAACCAAAATTTGACAACCATTTAACTGGATTTCAGAAAAATTGAACGGAGCTCAATAAATATTGTCAATTCCCCCAACCCCTGAAAATTAATTTCGACCTATTTTTTGCAATTTTTGTGTTTGGAAGGTAAGCCACGATTAAAATATCCTAACCCGACTGCTGGCTGCGTAAATAAAACATTACTTTTCACCAAAAAACATATATTTTTTGAATCGCATGAGCCTAAGTGTTTCAAAATTTCCTTATTTTTCTCAATAGAGTTCGGGTCAATAACTTCCGACAAATTTAATTCCACAAAACACTGAAAATTCCAACGCGAAACGTTATTTTGAGTCTCTAAAAAGCTATCAAAAACCAGGCAACATATTGCAAAAGAAGATGTAAGTATATTGAGATGTGTTTGTAATTATATATCATATTTAATTATTTTTTAGCAACTGATTTAGGTTTATTCGAACTTATGCTGGCCCCAATCTCCGACACGTAAAATGTTTAATTCCACACACAAGATAAGATTCTTTTGTAAACACATTTCTCGATGATTTTTAGCCTTGATTATTCGATCACAACATCAAAATTGCTTGTTACCTTGCTTGCTCTACAGGCATTGCTTAGTCCTAGTCTTGATTTCATGCCTTTTATAAAAATTGGGTAATTTACCTGAGGAGAGTAATACACCAATTGTTAGTAAGGGTAGTTTTAAGGGTTGAGTCAAAGGAGTTCCATGCAGTTGGGCATCAGTTGAGTAAGTACATGAAAAATAATACAATAGTAAATCAGGGATAAAACTAAGGTAAATATAATATCATAAATAGGGATATTATATTACATGGTACGGGGAATACTAAAAGGCGAACGTTAAAAAAGGGGAACTGTTAATAAGGGGGTTATTCAGAAAAGTTGATATTAATCCCGAGTTTTCGTATAAATTGAAACATTATTTTACCTGAAAGTTTGTCATTTCCTTGTAAGTCATGCTGTTTTTGAAAAGTTGAGAGAAACGAGTGAGTCAGCTTGGCTGTAATGTCAAAAGTCAAGTTGAGAGAAAGATGACCTTAATTGTTTACAATTAACACCCGCCCACATTTGCAGAGCTTGCAAATAAAGTATTGAATAAAATAGTAAGGATACGGTAAAATACAAAGATAAGGGAACCAGTAGATAAGGGAACCAGAAATTGTTCTTTTTCATCTTCATCTTGGTTTGTCTATCGTTGAGCTGATTGTCTTAGTTGAATTGACGAGTCGTAGATTTGTTCATCTTTGTCGAGTTGATATGTTGAAGGCTGAGTTGCGTGATTATTTGGTTGGTTAGCTATTTGGAGCTTGGTTACTGCGAAACTGGGAAAACGCGGCTCAATTTGACCACAGGTCGAACTTTGAATCCAGTTGGCGTTTTCAGCTTCACTGAGCGGACTATTCCATCTTGTCCAGGAAAGGTTTCCACCACTTTAGCAAGAGGCCACAGTCCACGAGGTGTAAAATCCTCCAACATCCAGACCATGTCGTCGGGTTGCAAATTGGAAGTCGCAGAAGTCCACTTTGATCGTTTCTGCTGACCTGGTAAGTACTCTCGAAGAAAGCGATTCCAGAAGTGATCTGCGAGTAGTTGGGATGCTTTCCATGATTTTGACAGAGATAAATCCTTGTCCTTGAAGATACCAGGCGGTAAATTTGGAGTTCCACGACCAAGAAGGAAATGGTTGGGAGTGAGAGGCAGATCATCTTTGATGTCGTCAGACACATTGGTTAAAGGTCGTGAATTCATGGTTGATTCAATTTCGGTCGTGAAAGTAGCCAGTGTTTCATAGGAGAGTGTTCTTGATCCGATGACTTTGTACAGGGAAAGTTTAAATATCTGAACTAGTCGTTCCCAAGAACCACCAAAATGAGGGGCCGCAGGAGGGTTGAATTTCCATTCGAGTGATACGTCCAGCTGATTGATGCTTTCCACAAATTCTTTGTTCTTTTCCAAGTTGTCTAGACATTTCTTCAGCTCAGAATTGGAGCCCACAAAACTTGTCCCACAATCAGAAACCATTTTCGATGGTTTTCCTCGCCGGGCAAAAAAGCGTCTGATACAAAGAAGAGTGCTGTCTGTCGATAGTCCTAATGAGATTTCAAGATGCACAGCTCTGATCACTAAGCATGTGAACAGTAAAATATACGCTTGGTATTGTTTTCCTTGAAGGATGATGGGAAAAGGTCCAACGTAGTCCAATCCAGTCGTTGCAAAAGGAAAATGATTTTTTGATGGCAGTCGATCAATTGGAAGATCTGACATCTGAGGGTAGTCGACTTGTTGTTGCATTCTTCTGCAGGGTATACAACTGTGTATGATACTTTTCAGCATGACGCGGCAGCGAAGAATCCAGTAGTTTTCCTGTGCTATGGCAATTGCTTGTTCCTTTCCGCAGTGGGAATGTAGAACATGGATGTTAGCTAACAGCAGGCGAACATTGGGGTTTTCACCAGCGAGAATGATTGGATATCTAGCTGATAGCATGATAGGGGCACGCGTGAGACGTCCACGAGAACGCAGGATACCGAAGTTGTCCACAAACGGTGCTAATGTTCGAAGTCTACTTTTGCCTTCAATTGGTTTTTCTTTTTTGATGTCTGAAATTTCAGAGACAAAATCTGTCCTTTGGGCAGTTTTAATTATGAGAAAGTGCGATTTCGTTAGATGCAAGAGTTGAAGATCGACCTTCGACTGTTTGTTGATCTTCCGTTTGAGATTTTCTGCGAATAAGAAGCAGTATGCAACTGTCCGTATTAGTCTTTTCCAGTTGCTGAAGCGTTTGATGTCAAATATAGGCTCAAATTTAGACTCTAATGAAGTAACGAATACAGGAATGTTCTCAAGCCGAATGTTTTCCTGTGAAGGCCATTGAGAAGAATCGTTCAACAGAAATTCCGGTCCTAGTAGCCACCGACAGCTTGAGGTCATTTCTAAAGCAATGTATCCTCTGGTACCGTCGTCAGCAGGATTTAGCAGAGTTGGAACGTGAAACCACTGTTCAGGTTTAGAAACGTCTAAAATTTTCTGAAGCCGATTAGCGACGAAAATTTTGTGTCGTATTTCAGGTGTTCGCAGCCAATACAAAACAGTAGTACTGTCAGACCAGAAATAAGTTTTTTCAACTTTGAGGTCAATTTCCTCTGAAACAAAGAGCGATAGTTGGGCAGCATATACTGCAGCTTGCAACTCGAGATTGGGAATTGTAACACGTTTCATAGGAGCGACTCTTGTCTTTCCTATTATAAACTTCAAAGATGTGGAGCCGTCGCTGTAGACTATTCTTAGGTAGCAAACAGCAGCGAGAGCGAATTCTGATGCATCACAAAACGTGTGAAGCTGGATTGAAGCAGGGTTTTCTTTATCAAAGAAGTTCCTTTGGAATGAAACAGTTTCGAAATTTTCCATTTCGTCTACCCAAAGTTTGAAATCGGGAAGTTTATCCGTGTCTAATGGAGTATCCCACTTAACACCTTGTGACCAAACAGATTGGAGAACTTTTCGAATCCGAATTGTCAATGGAGTGGGTCAAATAAAGAAGCGGTATACTTCAGGAGTTTCCGTTGCGTAGCAATGCCAATACGTAGAATTTTTACAAACTTTTTGTTATCGATGAAGTAGCAGTCAGTGTTGGTATTCCAGTGAACACCGAGAACTCGTTGATGTTTAGGCGTTGGATCATTAGGGCTGACTAAAATATTTGGATCAATTGAATCCAGGAATGGTTTACTGTTTGAGTTCCACTTATTCAAGTTGAACCCACCTCGAGATAAAGATCCTCGTAGTTGTGTCATTTGTTGGAGGGCTTCTTCTACCGTTGACGAAGTGACATACAAATCATCCATGTAGATATTCCGTTGAATGATTTCAGAAGCCAGAGGAAAGTCGTTTTTACTGTCTGATGCACATCGTCGTACTGCGTAGCAAGCCACGCATGGTGAGTCTGTGGCACCGAAAATGTGTCGTGTATATTCGTGAGTTTCTAATTTACCATTTTCTTTCCAAAGGTATCTTAGAAAAGGTCTATCCTTTGGGCTGACTAGCACTTGCATAAACATAGCATCTATGTCAGCAGATATTGCTATTTTATTTTGTCGAAAGCGAATTATGAGACCTGTTAAGTTGCACAAAAGATCGGGCCCTTTGAGCAAACTCGAGTTGAGGGATTTACCCTGAAAAATGCTGGAAGCATTTGAGACTCGTCTAACTTTGTCTGGTTTGTTGACATTTGTCACTGGATGATGCGGCAAATACCAAGATTTGATTGCAGTGTCATGTTTTGCATCTATTTTGGTGACAAAGCCTTTTTCTAAGTCAGTGATGACTGTTGCGCGGTATTTCTCCCTTAAATCAGGTTTACTTTTAAGGCGAAATTCGAGGCTGTTGAGTTGCTTTTCAGCTAGCCAACGGTTATTTGGAAGATCAGTATCCTCTTTCCAAAGAAGGTCAATTTGATAGTGACCATCTACTAAAGTACAAGAGTTTTCGAGAATATCGATTGCTCTTTTATCCGATTTGGAGTGCGAGCGTTTTGAAGAAGCGATGCCTGTGTTTTCTATTTTCATCCAGTTGAGAACTTTCTGGTATAATTTTTCATCTAAGTTATTGTGTGAATGAACTTGTGTGAAGTTCACCGGAACAGATGGAACGGAATTATATTGCGTTTTGTTCCGACCTGTGCATGTCCATCCCAAAAGGGTTTCGATAGCCCAGGGAACATTCTTGGGGCCATAAACGGTATTTTTGATCTCATGATATTCTGGATTGTTGTTTCCGATGACTAGCGATATGCTATTGTCGTTTAAGTCCGGGTATTTAACATGCTTTAAATGTGGAAAATTGTTGCACATTGCGTTTAGTTGAAAAATATCAACTGGGGCCAAATTATTTTCATCTACCGTGAGTACGTCATCGAGCGTCATTGGAGTCGATGTGCTTTTGTATGGTCTAATTTGTACATCCACAGATGTAACTTGAACTGACTTGGTCTCATGATATCCAGATATGGGAAGTGAGTGCTTCTTGTTGACGTCCAAGCCTAGTTGAGTTGCCACTGAGTCCAGTAGTAGAGTTACGCAGCTACCACTATCTAAGAAAGCGTAGGTACAAATTGTTTTATCACCATTTGATAATTCGATTGGTACAAAAGCTGATTGACCTGATCTCTGACAAGCTATTGCGCGATTCACTGCAGCTTTACTAGGGTTTTTTCCATAAGTATCAGAAGGATCGTGGAGTAGAGTGTGGTGTTTTTTACCACAATTATCGGTTCGACAGAGCGATTTCGAATTGCAGTCAGTAAACCTATGATTCCCTAGACAGTTAAAGCATAAGTGCATTTTTCGGGCATGCTCTTTTCGTTGCTTAGGGTCTAAAGCTTTGAAGTGCTCGCATTTGTAGAGAGGTCCACAGGTGTCTCCACTAGGACAAGCATTCGAGTTTACATTATTCTGAGCACGAGAGTTTTGTTGATCTCCCTGATGGTTAAAGCGCTGATTTTGATTTCCTACACCATTTGTAGTAAAACCATTGAAACGGGAACCACTAGGGTGTTTAGCGTTTCCAGAAGAATTGTTAAAATTGTTATTGTTTTGGTTTCGGAAACCTGTCGGAGGCATGTCGCGACACGCCTGTGCGTACCTTTGAAACCATTGTGCTAGATATCTCAAGGAGGGTTGATCGTAGTCTTTGTCGATGACGAAGCGATTCCATTCTAATCTCACAGGGTCGGGAAGCTTTGCCAGAGCAGTGTTCAAGTTTGTTGTAGAACAAATATCGTGAACAAAACCAAGTTGCTCAAAAGTGTCCACTAAAGTTAGGAGAAAAGCAGAAAACTGCATGTATGATTCTGGTTGAGCCAGATTTGGAGGTTTGAAATTTGCAAGACGTTGCAAAAAAGAGTTGACAATTCTATTGGTATTGCCAAAGTTTTCACGAAGACGTTGTAGTGCTAGTTCGTATGTGTCGCCGTTTGCACCATAACCAGCTATCATTAGTTTAGCTGGGCCAGTTACCAATGATTGAAGATGGATCATCGTTTCAGTTGGAGACATATTAGAATTATGAATCGATGATACGAATACACCATACCAGTGCAACCAATAGTTGGGATTGCCATTGAAAATTGTAGGCTTCAGTTTTGGCACTGATCGACTGAATGTAGTAGAAGTGTCGCTTGAATTAGTTGCCAAAGCTCGATTGTTGTTGTTAGGAGGGTTTGCAGCATTAGCTTGTTGTGAGCTGTGGTTAGGAACATCACTAGCAAATGGATTTGAAAATGATTGGTCGCCTTGAAATGGCGCCGAAAGGTTGTCGTCAGAGGCAGCTGTTCTTGCATTGCCTTGAGTATTGTTGCTCATGGTTATAAGGTTGTTGTTTGGTATATCCATTATGTTTGCAGTCGGCATGGAGGTTGCGGTTTCCTGTGGGAAAATTGAAGTAGCATTTTCTTGAGCGCTGTTATGTGGAATTGTAGAAGTAGCAGGATTTGATACTTGTTTTTTCAAATATTTTTTCACTTTCATTGAAAATACTCGGATTTTCTGTTTCAACTGTACTGTCCAGTGAGAATGTTCTTCAAAATCGTGTTCAGAACCAGCCTGTAACATTTGATCGTTCAGGGTATCAAGTTTTTGTTGGAATTGAGACAATTCAGTGAACGTTTCATTGATGAGTTCAAGATCATATTCTTCCTCGTAGATGTTGTTTTCGAGCATGTCGATCAAAGTATTGATCTCCATTTTGTGATGACGTCGAAGCGAAACCAGTTTTCGAACGCCAGTCTCTTGAACGTTTTGATTGGTATCTTGCGTTTGGGTACCATTTTGTTCCGAAGGATCGCTGTCATTGTTTTGCGTCGTTTTATTTCTACCGGATGGGGCCATACCTTGAACCAGGAGACGTAAACCAATACCTACCAACTTATACCAGTCGATGAATTTACCTTTACCAACCTACCAACTTATACCGAATACCACCGATGCTCGTAAGAAAGGAGCGAAATAATGGATAAAGTTTAACCAATTACCACTGTACCTTACCACTTGTACCTACCTCCGAGGGAAAATTGAGCGGTCGTTCAAAGTGTCCTCGGTATTAACAATTAACTGCGATTTTAAAGCTAGTCCAAGAACCTACCTGGTCCTACCAGCCTACCGACCCTACCTACCTACCAATTACCAGTATAAACGGCAAAAAAAAACCGGGTGCAAAGATTAGCACCAATGAGTGTTGACCTCCCAGAGGACAACTGAGGATGACGTATTTACCTACCTACCTGTCGCTATTTAGCAGACGACCGAATTGTGATTGCTGACCTCCCAGAGGACAACTAAAGTTGATGTACCTGTTTACCTACCTGTCCTAATACCGTAGATTTATCCCTGTGCAATAAAATTTGCACTTATACCAGTTGACCTCCCAGAGGACAACTTGCCTTTATCGCTGTAGCGTAGCGAATGAGACGAACTAGAATTGTTCGAAGCAGTTGATGAGCTAAACGAAGCTCGAATGTAGCCACGAACCCAGTGAGGCTCGAAGCAGCAGAGGAAATGAGCTCAGGTAAAGCTCGACAGGAAGCAGCCAAGAACCGAGAGGCTCAAAGCAGAAAATAAGGTGAGCTAAGACGAAGCTCGAATGTAGCCACGAACCCAGTGAGGCTCGAAGCAGCAGAGGAATGAGCTCAGGTAAAGCTCGACAGGAAGCAGCCAAGAACCGAGAGGCTCAAAGCATAAAATAAGGTGAGCTAAGACGAAGCTCGAATGTAGCCACGAACCCAGTGAGGCTCGAAGCAGCAGAGGAAATGAGCTCAGGTAAAGCTCGACAGGAAGCAGCCAAGAACCGAGAGGCTCAAAGCAGAAAATAAGGTGAGCTAAGACGAAGCTGGAATGTAGCCACGAACCCAGTGAGGCTCGAAGCAGCAGAGGAAATGAGCTCAGGTAAAGCTCGACAGGAAGCAGCCAAGAACCGAGAGGCTCAAAGCAGAAAATAAGGTGAGCTAAGACGAAGCTGGAATGTAGCCACGAACCCAGTGAGGCTCGAAGCAGCAGAGGAAATGAGCTCAGGTAAAGCTCGACAGGAAGTAGCCAAGAACCGAGAGGCTCAAAGCAGAAAATAAGGTGAGCTAAGACGAAGCTCGAATGTAGCCACGAACCCAGTGAGGCTCGAAGCAAGCGGAATAAGTGAGCTCAGATAAAGCTCAAACAAATGTCATGTCGAAGAACAATGACGAAAATTGAGAGTCCAAAAAGAACTCGAATCAGGTAACCAAGGAGTCGGGCAACAAGAAAGCAAAAGTGTCAGAAAACACTTGAAGGAAGGAAGCAATGAAGGAAGCAAAGGGCCAAGAAAGGCTCGGAAGGAATATACAAGGCGTCAGATAAGACTCGGAAGGAATGAATGAATGAGTAGGGAAAGACTCGGAAACGAACAACAAATGGGTCGAGAAAGAATCGGAAAGGAATGAAACATTGAGTCAGAAAAGACTCGGAAGGAATGAATGAATGAGTAGGGAAAGACTCGGAAACGAACAACAAATGGGTCGAGAAAGACTCGGAAAGGAATGAAACATTGAGTCAGAAAAGACTCGGAAAGGGACGCAAAAGGCAATAAAGACTCTGAACGGAATGAAAAATGAGTCGGGAAAACTGAAGTTTTTTCATAAATGAGTCACAAAAGACTCGGAATAGCAAAGCAACAAAAAACGAATTGAAAGGGGAAAATTGATGAAAATAACTTAATACATTATTCAAAGTAACTGAAGCTATGAACAATTGAAACGTTTAAAGTTTACATGGGTTAGAAATCAAGAGCAATAATTGATCTTTTTTTTTTTTAAATGTAAATCAAATAAACTGCGATTAACTGTAAATAAATGAAATAATATTGTAATGGGGAAGTATTATAACAAGATATAATAAACCGCAGACGTAAAAACTGGGGAGGAAAAACAGTAACTAACCATAAATTTTTGGTTGTGGGGGAATAAAAAACACAGTGTAACGAGCTAATCAAAACTTTTTCGGGGCGCCAATATAATATTGGGTAATTTACCTGAGGAGAGTAATACACCAATTGTTAGTAAGGGTAGTTTTAAGGGTTGAGTCAAAGGAGTTCCATGCAGTTGGGCATCAGTTGAGTAAGTACATGAAAAATAATACAATAGTAAATCAGGGATAAAACTAAGGTAAATATAATATCATAAATAGGGATATTATATTACATGGTACGGGGAATACTAAAAGGCGAACGTTAAAAAAGGGGAACTGTTAATAAGGGGGTTATTCAGAAAAGTTGATATTAATCCCGAGTTTTCGTATAAATTGAAACATTATTTCACCTGAAAGTTTGTCATTTCCTTGTAAGTCATGCTGTTTTTGAAAAGTTGAGAGAAACGAGTGAGTCAGCTTGGCTGTAATGTCAAAAGTCAAGTTGAGAGAAAGGTGACCTTAATTGTTTACAATTAACACCCGCCCACATTTGCAGAGCTTGCAAATAAAGTATTGAATAAAATAGTAAGGATACGGTAAAAAACAAAGATAAGGGAACCAGTAGATAAGGGAACCAGAAATTGTTCTTTTTCATCTTCATCTTGGTTTGTCTATCGTTGAGCTGATTGTCTTAGTTGAATTGACGAGTCGTAGATTTGTTCATCTTTGTCGAGTTGATATGTTGAAGGCTGAGTTGCGTGATTATTTGGTTGGTTAGCTATTTGGAGCTTGGTTACTGCGAAACTGGGAAAACGCGGCTCAATTTGACCACAGGTCGAACTTTGAATCCAGTTGGCGTTTTCAGCTTCACTGAGCGGACTATTCCATCTTGTCCAGGAAAGGTTTCCACCACTTTAGCAAGAGGCCACAGTCCACGAGGTGTAAAATCCTCCAACATCCAGACCATGTCGTCGGGTTGCAAATTGGAAGTCGCAGAAGTCCACTTTGATCGTTTCTGCTGACCTGGTAAGTACTCTCGAAGAAAGCGATTCCAGAAGTGATCTGCGAGTAGTTGGGATGCTTTCCATGATTTTGACAGAGATAAATCCTTGTCCTTGAAGATACCAGGCGGTAAATTTGGAGTTCCACGACCAAGAAGGAAATGGTTGGGAGTGAGAGGCAGATCATCTTTGATGTCGTCAGACACATTGGTTAAAGGTCGTGAATTCATGGTTGATTCAATTTCGGTCGTGAAAGTAGCCAGTGTTTCATAGGAGAGTGTTCTTGATCCGATGACTTTGTACAGGGAAAGTTTAAATATCTGAACTAGTCGTTCCCAAGAACCACCAAAATGAGGGGCCGCAGGAGGGTTGAATTTCCATTCGAGTGATACGTCCAGCTGATTGATGCTTTCCACAAATTCTTTGTTCTTTTCCAAGTTGTCTAGACATTTCATCAGCTCAGAATTGGAGCCCACAAAACTTGTGCGGTCAGTGGACCCAATAGATACTAGCCGGACCCAAAAATAAGAAATACATATTTTTGACGCTCATTGATTAACTAGAAGTAAGTAGTTTCATTTTGACGGGCAATGAGAGCATCTGAGCAAGGTGTATATGCGTAAATGCAGCTCAAGAGGATTGATGATTCCAAAATTGGTCCCGCAAAATTGCGCATGTGACTGCAGCAATCTTAAATATGAACAAATGGTCCCTTTATAGCTCAAATGGTCCCTTTATAGCTTCCAGAAGAAGTGAAATTTCCTCAATCGAATCCAAAGTTTGGATGTTCGATTGAAGCAACGTCTGTGACAAAGACAATTGCTTATCTCTCCAAGCAATTTCTAACATCGCATGAGGGTCCCTCCATCAAAAAATTTTTGACAACCACTTGATCTGGCTTGCACAGCTCATCCGTTGTCATAAGAATGCTAGGCCCCAAAAATCAGCTGCTATTTATTAGATCTTCCGAAAAAAATCCCACGTGTAGTGCTACGTGCTGGATTATTGCCGACAACACGAAGTACGTGACAGTCATGTTGACGCTCATATCGGAATTTACCAGAGGTAATCAGTTTCACTTCCACGGAAAATGAGTGCACCTGAGCAAGAAGTATAAGCTCTTCTCGACAAACTCCAACTCAAGGGGACTGTTGATCTCAATAGTCGTCCCGGAAAAAAAAGGCATGTGATGAAAGTAGTCCTAACATTAAACCCATCGCCGACCACCGCGATGAGGAAGAAAGGAAAGTCAGGAAGAAGAAGGTGATGAAGAAGAAATGTTTTATTAGTGTATAGTTATTGCAGTACGGTATTCTATCTGGCCACAAAACAATTTCAATCATTCTAATTGTTAGTTTTTTCACCATTTCTTTTTTCGGTCACGTCGCAATAAGAGGCAGTTGAAGCTCTAACTTGGGTATAAAAAGCAATTTTAATGGCATAACTAGCAATTTACAGCAAAAAAAATTTAACCTTCAAGAGTTTTCAAGATAACGAAAAAACCAATGGCGCAGAAAACATTCTGCGAACCATCGCTCAATATGTGGAGGTCAAGATGAGCTACATGTTCTGCGATGTAATTGCGTGAAACTACGAAGTGATCTAATAGATGCAGGCCGGAATTCCACTCGAGAAATTTTTACCTGATATAATTTTTTGTAAATCTTTATGGCTTTTTTGTTTACTTATTCGCCAAATGTCTTCAAGTAAAAGAAGAGCCGCATCAGTGTATGGGGCTACTTAAACAAAATGTTCGAGCACCGGTGACACAACACAAGAAACGGTTCGTTCGGTTTCGCCTTTTCGAGAAGGCGATAAACAACTCGGCTCACAATCAATGTGTTTTTACATGATCTGAGTTAGGAGCTAAAACCTGCCACAATTATTCATCATTTTATGTTTTTTCAACGGATAAAAGTGTTCCATTTATTTTGGGATTCCATGCTAAAAGTGTTT